AGGGATGGACACTCCATTGACAAATATTTTCTGCACTTTAGACAGTTGTGAGTTTCTATATTAACTCTCATTCACTGCAAAAAGGTATTTTTCTGATGAGGTCTGAGAGCAGCATTGTGTACGGGTAGAGATACATAAATTTAGACGGATGTTTGATGTTGTGTTCGTTTATCAAAATAATAGTAGTAGGCTCACTCCTGAGACCCTGAATTCTTATGTAGCCCAGACTAGCCTTCAACTCAGGATCCTTCAATCTTATTTTTCCATATCCTGAGAATACAGGCAAGTGCCATCAAACAGCCGGCTAGTTAATTCATTTCAACTGCCAATTAAAGAATTCAGTTAATTAAAGAAATTAAAGAAAAATTTTAAAGTATCATAATCATATCACCGCATAACAAGCACTTTTGTCTTCTTGTAATTTCTTCTACATTTTCCACATTTTTCACGAATTCACATTGCATGTAATGTTTGCAAATTTTAACCAAACGTACTACGAACAGCTTTTCGGTATTTTAAATATTTCTCTACAAATCATTTTCTTAAACAATTTTCTGTTAGTGAACATTTAAGAAATCTCTAGTTACTTGTCATCACCCACAATATTCTAGCTATTTTGTTCTTACTCTTTTTAATGTTTACCATCAAATATGCAGCTAAAAAACTGCAATGACTCAAGATCCCACCTCCAGATATCCTTCTGTCTTACTAACAATAAATGGTATTGTGTCTGAAGGCCGGAGGTTATGCCTTATGTTTCTCTAGCCATTATGACAGAGTTGGGAACATAGTAGACACTAAGATATTTTTGATAAGTGGATTAACAAATGAACTACTCATTCAGTTGACCTATTAGTCTTATATCTGATAACTTCGATCTGGATATAAAAGTTACACAGAACACCATCTGTTATTGCCACATAAATTAAGATGTTGACTGATATCAAATATAATGTTACAGAAGTGACTTCTGAAATAAAAGCTGTCCCCAAAGTCCTAAGAAGTCTCTTGGAATGAACAACTTGCCTTGTTTTTCTAAGAATAGAAACTATTAAATGTCCCCGAGAATAAGGACCATGCATTTAGGATAAGAAACCCACCCCCATCTATTAGCAGTTAGGTCTGAGAACTGGAATCATGACAGAGAAATCAAATCTAACATTAAACTTTCATAGTGTCAGGAATTGTTTTATTATATCTTTGTCCCCAGGATTGGTGGGAAGTCCTAGAATGAGTTTGTGTTCCAGAGAGCAACAGGAGTGAAAAGAGAAAGTGACCAGGGTCAAGGCAGGAGTTCGGGCTGAGCGCCTGCCAGCAACAGGTGTTTAACTTCAGCTGAGTCAGTTCATGGATTAAGGCAGCAGTTTTATATTGTAAAATAAAAATCTGGGTACGCTCAGCATTTCGCAAAAGGTATTCTGTGGAACACACGTCTAATGATCTGTTCCACTAGAGAAAGGGTTTCATAGCTGAACAGACCTGAGACATGCTGCATCCAATATCTTCATAGGGCACATTATTGCACCCTCTGAAAAGTTCTCTGGTTGAGAAATCCATTGAACTTTATTATCATTTTTTACTGGTTTGGTTAAAGGAACTCAAAGCTACTTTAGAAATCATGTCCAGCTCACCCAGCAATGGCTGCCTCTTATGAACAGAAGTTCCGAGAATCCAGTAGCTGTTCATTCAATCCATGTCTCCTCTGGCTTCAGCATATGCTGGAATCCTGAAGAAGCAGGCTTTAAAGCAGTGAAGAAACAAGGTATGGTCCTGATAAAAAGGTGGGTTTTCACACCTCAAAAAATCTGGATTTAAGGTTTATCTCCCCACCTCAAATATCCATATTAAAAGCGAGTTTTCCCACTTCAGATAATTTAGTTAAGAGTCCCACAGAGATGTGCCCAGTCATTGGGATCACAGTTCCAGTTGTAGTTGAGTTGGCAACCAAGAATAGCCGTCATGCCTACTAAAATTCTGTGAAGTCACTGTCCTTAATAACACACTTTGTGCTGGGTGGTGGCGGCAGAAGCCTTTGATTACAGCACATGGGAGGCAGAGGGAAACAGATCTCTGTAAATTTGAGGCCAGCCTGGTCTACAAAGGAAGTTCTGGGACAGCCAGGGCTACACAGAGAAACCCTGTCTAAAAAAAACAAAAACAAAAAAAACAAAAATAGAAAGAAAAACAAACAAACAAAAAGAACATACTTTGCAGAGTAATGGACTAGGAATCTTTTAAGGTGCCTAGATTTATGGCACACGTGTGCGTGTGTCGGTGTGTGCGGGCACCCCACAAGATCTCTTATTGTACCGGGGCATATCCATTTCTCAAGATTATCTGGCCGGTAAATCTCATGGGCATTCCCATTTCCACCTCCCAAGTGCTGGGATTAGGGATACAAACCACTTAGCCCTTTTTTTTTACACAGGTGCTGAGCATTTGAATTAAGATCATCATCTTTGTTCAGTAAGCTCTTTACAGATTGAGCTCCCAGCCTCCTATGGTAATATTCTCCTGTTTAAGTATTCAGTCAGGCTCCTCCTGCTGCATTCTTATTTCATGGAGGGTTAGCTTCATACAGTCAGTCTCCCTAGACTGAAAGTCCCTTGCCTTTTGTAGAGGTTTCTGTCTCCTTCTGTCCTCTAGTCTATTTTACGTGAAAGTCTACAGATTTGTTATATATCCTTCACCCAATCACCCTTCTGCCTCTGCCCAGCTGCTATAAGCTATCTCACCCCGCCCCCCCCCCTTTTGCTTTCATTCTTCGGTCAGTTTTCTCTGGTTTCTGAATATATGCAGAGACTAAAACACATCAAAGAGTTTATGCTTTATTAAGTTCAAACTCCTTAGTGTTGCACACGAGCTCTTGACATGAGGTCCCTACTACCATTTCCCACCTAGCCGAACCTTCTCTGCATCTGACTGGAAGAAATGGAATTACTTGAAAGTCAGGCTTCTTGGGCATGGTACTATTAAAGTTCATACACCTGCACAGAGTCGTTGCCTTTGTCTGGAATGACTGTTCCTCCTTATCCAGTTAGATCCTCCCTGTCATTAAACATGCTTTCCTGGTCTGGCTATAGACAGTTTTCTAGTAGTGGCTTCCCTACCTCCTTTATCCAGCAGTCTGTGACTTGTGGGGGCAGGAGACATCGAGTTTTTCTTATCTTTGCATTCTTACAGCTTAGCTGGAGCTCAATAAACTCTAATCAAGTGAATGGATTATTTCATGGCTTAATGAAACTGATGAGAACCTGCTCATTTTGCTCAAAGGTGAAAAGTGACTGTTTTCTAAGATTGGTCTTAACCAACCAAAAAACTCAGGGAAGAGATGGCTAAGAGTAATCGAAAGAGCATTCAAAAGCCTGTTTGATAAAGGTTTCCATAAAAATGAGACTCTTAAAAAAATGAGACTCTTGTAATGTTCACATTCAGCCTAGCAATAACATTTGATAACAATAGGTTGTTTATTAGGTTTGGGCATCTAGGTGTTTTTAATATCAACAAACCTGGCCACAATAAAGAGGCTACAGACACATTTGTATAGATTGTTTTGTATAGTTTTGTTTTGTTTGAGACAGGGTTTCACTGTGTAGCCCTTGCTGTCCTGGAACTCACTCTGTAGACCAGGTTGGTGTATGAATTATTGGTTAAAATCTCAAAGGATTTGTTATTTATACAAAGGTGCGCAGTAGATATTGCAGGGTCTAAGGATGAAGAAAAAGTATGATCCTCATCAAGGGAAAAACATAGCACACTGAAATAATTACAGGTAACAAATGGCAAATTCAGCAAGGAAGAGAGACCATAGGAATTGGTCACCTCCACTATTTTTAGTTTATTAGATGGTGTTATCTTACACCAGATTATTGAAGAACCTACTGAACTTAAAATACAAATTGCATGTATTTCCAAAGCACGGGCATCTCAAGTGTGAAACTTCTACGGTTCTAAACACCAGTTTGGACAGATTGTGCACCAGGTCGTTAAAGATTGTAAAATAGGACTGAAACCACTTGGAAATCCTTAAGAATATCAGGAAGGAGAATGCACTTAATCAAACTAGGATTTGGTCCTAGAACAGGGAAATGAACACTCATTCTTAGAAAGAGAGCCAGAATTTCAGAAAGACATAGTCTCTCTTTTTTTGGGGGGGGGGGCGGGGGAAGGGATGTGAAAATTCAAAATACACAAACTGTTAAAGAGCTGACCAGAAGACAAGAAAAAAGAATGCTAAACGTTCAACGCAGCCAATTCCAGATCACAGTTCAATTTCTTTAGTGCTAACAAAGTATATAGCCAAGCAAAGGTAATTTAATACTATTTTTTTCTTTCCTTTGATCAACTTTACATGAAGGTCGTAATAAGGACGTTAATCGAAAGAAATCTAAGTCTGCCTAAGTCGAATCTGCATAAAAAATAAGCAGTATCCTCACGGAGCTTGGGAGCAAATTCACCATTTAAGTGTAATACTCGGGCATATAAGATGCCAACACCCGCACTACGAACAGTTTCAGTAAGGGAGGACAGAAACTGGGGACCCAGATGAGCAGGCTTTGACGTGAAAAGGTAGAGATGAGCGGGGCGTCTGATTCCTGAAACGGCAGTTTGGGGCTAAAATGGGATTTCCTAAAGCAGCGGGTGTCTGGGTTAGCCCGGGGCTGTTTGCTGGAGACTGAGTACGTGGACTGCAGGCAAAGGTGCACAGCCTCAGGCGGGAGCCACCGGGAAGGGCAACGGAGGGCGGGACCGCAGCAGGATTTTTCCTCTCCGCTCATTCATTCTCTGATTCACCGGTTCCTGGAGGAGGCGGCTCTCGGGGACGCGCGCAGGAGGCCGGCCAGGGCTGGGTGCGGCCCGGCGCCTGCGGGTCGGACGGTGTGCGCTGGGGCGGGGGAAGGGAGGGGGGACGGGGGCGGGGTGGGGGGGGGGCGCTGCTGACCAGGCGGCGGGAGGCGCGCGCCACCGCCCGCGCCGGAAGTGAGCCGGCGGCCGCGGCGGGGAGCGCGCGCGCGCGCGCGCGGCCGGGCGTCAGTCGGTCCGCCCTTGGGCCGCACGACCCTCAGCCCCGCCCTGCGTGCCGGGGCCGGACGCGGGGGCTCTGCGGTCTGAGCCGCTGGGCGCTCGGTCGCCCCGCCCCGTCCCTGCCAACGCCCGCTCTGTGGGTCGGTCAGTCAGTCCCGGAGCGCGCGCCGCGGGAGCTGAGGGAGAGGAGCCGCGCGCCTGGAGAGGCGGCGGCGCGGCGGGAGGACGCGAGCAGCTACTGCCTCGCGCGGGGCTCCCGGAGGGCCGAGGGGCTGCCACGGTGAGTGCTCCACCGCCTGGCCCTCGAGATCGGGGAAAGGAAGGATCCAGGTCCCCGGGAGGCGCTGCCGCCTCCATTTTCCTGGCTCCCGGCGTGGCCCTCCGGGCGAGAGCAAGCGGCTGCAGCCCGGGGCGGGGTCGCTGCCGAGCTCTCGGCGTTAGGGCTGCGCCCAGCCAGGCGGCCTACGGTGGGTAGGGGTCGGCGGGGCCTGGGCTGCCCCCCACTCGGGGCGGCATCGTGCAGACAATAGGGCGAGTGGGCGCCTGGGTAGGTGCGGCGGGGCTTCTACTCCGCGCTGGGCTCCGGTGGCCGGGGACTGCTCGCGGGTGGAAAGGGACTGGCTCCCCGGTAGCCGCAGACACCGCTCGATGCGGGTTTGTTCTAGCTTTTATGCCCTGCCCGCCTTCATAAATTAGTTCAATGCAGAGACGTCGAAAGGCGGGGTGCTTTCGGTGTCTTCTAATTAAGCAAAGTAATTGCTCCAGTGCTTTTTAGCCTCATCTCATCTTTCCGCGTACATTCCCGCCGGAAATCCAAACTGCAGTTCAGTGGAGGACGGCAGAAAGGGAGGAGGCTGCCTAATAGTGTCGGAAGGATGCCTTCGTTTTAAGATGCTGATACCCTTTTCCCATTCAGACATTGTCTTAGAATGGCCCCACTGTGTGAACCGGAGACTGCTTGATCCTTATGTAGACATAAAGATGTGCCTTAGTATGAAATAAGAGCTTTGGAAAAATGATACAAGAGTTGCACGTTTCCTGTGTGTTGCATTTCATACATTCTGTGGGAAGAGCAGTTCGGGGTGGATACTGCCGGCAGCATTTCTCATGGAGAAGTGGAGAGCCGCCCAAGTGGGTAAAGTCCTCCGTGGAGGTAGCGGGCTAGCGTGATTCGATTATTAAAGGGTGACTTCGTGTTCGTTAGAATACTGAAGTCAGCAAACAGTGTGGAAACCTACTCAGGTACAGTGGGAGACACAAAACGAACACCCCTACAACACTGAGTAGCAGAAAAGGCGCATTGAAGCAGAGTAAACTAACGGTGCATACAGAATAACAGGCTAGCAATGTGAGGGTGGATAAGCAAGCCATTAACTCCGCAGTAGTTCTCTACAGGTAAACAGCCATACACCACCTGTTATCAAGAAGGTTGACCGAGACAACGCAAAATTGGTAGCCCCTTACCTACCTGTGAGAGGCTCAGTACATGCTAATTCCTTTTCCTACTGCTGGGGGTGGGGTGTCGGCTGTCGATCTTGTGAGGGGGTGAGTCAGAAGTGAATATTGGTAATAGTGCATTATAGAGGCACAGTATAAGGCAGTGAAGAAAAGGTGAATTCTACGTTGAGGTTAGTGGTGGGGTGAATCTATGGAAGCTGCCAATGTATGGGTGGAGTCTTTTAAAAGGTTGGATATTTTCTTTAAAAATAATATTAGCACATATTAATTTTACATAATAATGAGTTTCATATTTTCATACATGTACATCATGTATTTCTATTATTTCAACAGGACTGGTGGGATTTCAACAGTGTAGACTTGGAGAGGAAGACATTCCACGTGTAGGTGGTGATTATCTTTTTAGAGCTGGATTCAGGAGCCAGACATGGTGGATCATGCCTGTAGTCTCTGCACACAGGAGGCTGAGGCAAGAGGATTGCAATGCAGTCCAGGTCAACATGAGTTACAAAATGAGACCCTGTCTGAAAAACCAACAAACCCAGCCATCACCACCCTCACACACATGAAAAAAAATCCAAATTCTCTAAGAAGAAAGTTAGAGAAGTAGCAAAATAAGGACACCCTTTAAAAACCTTTCTTGCATTTGATTTTTTTTTTTCACCAGGTGTTTTGTGGTGTTTGGATTGCTACTCACTTCTGTTTGATTTTAGTGAGGAACTATGTGTGGTCGTTTCTTTGTGATGAGTATTAGCTCTATGTAGTATTCCACACAGGCAGACTCTTCAGGTCTCATGAGATTATTCAGTGGAGTGGCAGGCATCTTTTGAGAATGTTTACACAACTTTTAACACTTTTCTGGCCAGATGTTTTTAACCATCTTTGAGGATAATTGTGTTGTTTTTTGTTTCGGTTTTACTGGGTTTTGACTCTGGACTAGAAAGAAATGAGGGCAGCAGGTCTGGGATGCATATTTGCTTTGCTTTGGAAGTTGTGAATGTCTACATTGGTATTATCCCCAACTATTTCTTTAAGAAAAGTAATATTAATGGAGTAAGATATGTAACCTCGGGCTAACTATTGTGTTCTTAATTTCTTTACCTGTAAAATGAGGAGCTTGGAGTAGATTACTGGTTTCTGTGTTATTTTTTTACTGATCTTAAGATTTTGTTTTGAGACAGTTTTGGAGCCTGTCTTGGGACTCTAGACCAAGGTGGCCTTGAACTCCCAGAGATCCACCTGTCTCTGCCTCCCAAGTGCTGGGATTAAAGGTGTGTGCCACCACCACCCAGCTTTTTGAGGAGCTAATATTGGTAGCATGAGCCTTGAAGGGTTTAGGTAGGAGGGTGCTGAGTTTAAGGACTGCCTACCTACATCATGAGACTGCCTCAAAACAAAAAGAATAATTAAAATTTTATTTTGATAAAGAGCTTTTAAGGGTCTTTAGACACTTGACCTAAAGTTCATTAAACAGTTTGGAGAGGGGGCTGGAGAGATGGCTCAGAGGTTAAGAGCATTGCCTGCTCTTCCAAAGGTCCTGAGTTCAATTCCCAGCAACCACATGGTGGCTCACAACCATCTATAATGAGGTCTGATGCCCTCTTCTGGCCTGCAGGCATACACACAGAAAGAATATTGTATACATAGTAAATAAATAAATATTTAGAAAAAAAAACAGTTTGGAGATACAGCTCAAGTCGAGAGCAGTTACCATGGTAGGGACCTGGATTTGATACCTACCACCACCACAAAGCCCATAGTCTAGTTTGTAATGTTTGAAATCAGGAGTAACCATTGTAATCAGAGCACTCGAGACGCTAAGGCAGGAGGAATAAGGCTAGACTAAGCTATATACTGAAGCCCTGACTCAAAAGATGTTTTAAAATTATAATAAATAGTTACTATATAATATGTACTATTTTCAACACTTTATAGTATTGAATTATTTATTCCTCACCATGCCTCTATGAAGGAGGTCTGTTATTTGAGAAAACAAGCAGAGGTAGTAAATTTCTTTCCCAAAGACTACACAGCTATGAAGTAAACATAGAGATTTAAACTAGGTAGCCTAATTCTTATATTTTTACCACCTTCCTGTGCTGCCTCTTTTTCTCATGTGTTAAAATCTTTATACAACTTTTGCCATTTTAAGCATTAAATAGTTAACTTTCGGTGCTGTTAAATCTGTTCATGTTGAGGAGCTTATGCCTTTAATCCCAGCACTTGGGAGGCAGAAGCAGGTGGGTCTCTGAGTTCGAGGCCATCCTGGTCTACAAAGCTAGTTAGAGAACAGCCAGGGCTACACAGAGAATCCCTGTTTCCCAGAGGAAAGAAGTTCCATGTTATTGTGTAACTGTTACATTGTCCATTTCCAGAGCATTTTCACAATCCCAAATTGAAATTCTACCTGTTAAACAGTAACTTCACATCTACTACTGCAGCTTCTAATAGCAACTTTCTTACTTTGTCTCTATGCCTTTGACTCCTCGGGGTACTCTCTGAAAGTGTAGTCATTATTTTATTGTTGTTGGGCTTTTCTTTTTACCCAGAATCTTAAATCGGAGCCCAGGCTGTACTAGAATTCACTGTATAGTTCATGCTGACTTAAGCTCATCACTGTAGCCTGTTTGTTTGTTTGCTTATTTATTTAGGCACATTAGAGATCCGAATGACCTACAGACTCAAGCTTCCCTTACACTATCTGTGTGTTTACTTAGGAGTTTTAAATGAGCAATTGATAGGAAACTTAATAGACTGGAGACGTTTTAAACTTCGGTCCTGCATACTGTTTGTTCATATAAAATTGTCTCAACAACATATTACTGTACACTCTGTTCAATTAAATGGACAAAGTCAAACATTTCTATGGGGGTGTACTCATCCTGTTTAAGTCATTGCTTGTTAAGAACAATGAACATTTAACAATAAGTCCTGATAGCATATCATAAATGTTTTTGCAGTTCATTGTGTTATTTTGTCTTGTCTCTTAAACACTGCTGTAGTTCTGTGAAAAGATTACCTTGATCAAGGCAACTCATACAGAAGTGCTGAGTGCTGGGATTAGGGGCAGGTGCCTGGCTTAAAATTTTATTTTTATTTTTCTTTACATCTTTTTATGTGTATGAGTGTTTTATCTGCATATATGTATGTGTAACCATGTGTATCCACTGAGGTCAGAAGAGGCCTTTTGGATCCCCTGGAACTGGAGTTACGAGGGGTTGTGATTCTGGCAACTGAACCTGGGTTCTCTGCAAGAACAAGTGTTTTTTCTTCTTGGTAGTTGTAAATGCTTGATATGGTGCTAAAACTGAACTCAGATCCTCCGCAGGAATAGTACACTGAGCCTTTTCTCCAGTTCCAACTTTTCATATTCTTATTAGTCATTTGGGATATAACTGTGTAAGATTTTTGCTTACTTTTAAAATTCAATCCTTTTTTTTTTTTTAGGCTTGTAACAGTTCTTTATATCCTAAATACAAGCTATTTAGCCAGATATATTTTCTCTTAATTTGGTGCTTGCCTGCTTTTATTTATTCATTTTTGTGTGTGACAGGGCTTGTCATGTATCCTAGGATGACTTCAAATTCATTAAAATACTTTGACCTCAGCCTCCTGAGTGCCAAGATTAACAATGTGTTTCATAATACTCACCTTGTGCTGTATAACTTTTTAAATGTTTTAATAATGGACTTCATTAAGAGTGTTAATGTTTCTTATGATTATAGGTATTTTCTGTGTCCTAATAACTTCCTATTTCAAAGTTGAAAAGACATATTCCTGTATTTTCTCTTGTATGAGTTTTATAAGTTTAGTTCTTGCATT